AACAAGAATCGCCTACAACAAACTAAGAATGGAAATAATATTCCAACTCTGTGTTATTGGATTTCAAAAAAGCTTTCGAACTCATATTTTTGGGCATGAAGGGCTCTAACCTACAGACTTTTAAACTGTAAGGTTAATAGTGGTGGCAATAGAAATGTTTATATTTTAGATCTGAGTTAAAGCGCGATGTGGAGATATGACGGTCTTAGAATGAGAAGTCCGGGAGCTACGCACATTTATCTAAAACTTCGAGCAGCGCAAGTAACATTAAAATATTATACACTATCTATATTAACCATAAAGGCTCGGACTTAGATTGCCAAACCCTGCAGAACGTGCCTCTTTCTCTGGGGGGGGGAAGAAAATCAGTTTAGTTTGTCTCCAATTATTAAACAGCTCACATGGTTTTCCAAATACTATTCGACCTTTAAACCAAGTGCATCTTGAAGAGACATTTTTGCACTCACCTTGAAATTACCACAGGTTAAAAAAAGTCTGTAATAGGAAGCCCTTCATGCTAAATAGTGTCAAGCTGTCTTGAAATCAATAAAAGCAGCGTGAACTTTTTCCATTTCTTAGTTCTGTTGTACCGGTTTGTTGATTATAAGCGTTGGAAGGGTAGGTATACATGCGTGTGTCAGGTGGGCGGTGTTTTGGGGGGAAGGCAATCTGGACTTTCCTACTTAGGATTGCTGTTCCTCAAGGAAGGTCTAGCTATATCATGCTATTAATGAATAAACTACGAAGAATAAGATTTTACCTAGAGCGAGGCTGCTCACACAGATGCCACGGGTTAGTTTATTTTAGCTGGTCCACCCTCTTATTGAATGGGGAGAATGGAGGCCGCGTTAATGCACCATGGAATGTTAGAGAAAAAATGTCAACTGAGACCGTAGGTGCTATAATGGAACAAAATGCTTAACATTGCCACCCTCATTTCTCTCTCTCTTCTGGTCTCTCTCTCTTGGAATCTCTCTCTCTTTCTGCCTACATCTCTGGGTCGTCTCTCTCTCATGTCTTCTCTCTACTCTGGTCTTATCTCTCTCTCTCTGTTCTCTGCATCTTCTGCTCAATCTCTACTCTCTCTCTCTCTCTCTCTCTCTGTCTCTGGTCTCTCTCTCTCTGTTCTCTCTCTCAATTGTCTCAATCCTTCTAGATACTCTACATTCTTCTGGCTTTAAGTCTAACTCTCTCTCCCAAAGAATACATCTCTAATAAAGCAATAAAAATACTGATCAGCTGTTATTGCGATTACTGATCAATCAGTGTATTGATTGAGGAGTGGAAGCTGCAGCTGTGACCGTTCGGACTGGGCATGTGTGGCAGCTATCTCTCCCACTTCGGCCGCGGTCTCGATCACTAACATGTAGAAGAAGAATGCTCAGGTATGGTGGCGCATGCGCGTACACAAAAACAGCCCTTGTAGTCCCAATGAGGGTCACTGTGTTCGGGGGTCGGAGTTCCGGTCTGACTGCTTTCCGAATGCATCAGACTGCTCAGCGGAGCTCCGGCGGGCTCAGGCGGGCCGTCGCCGGCCTCTGTGCCCGCGTCAGCGCGTCGCGCTCTCTATCTGCGTGCGCGCGCGCTGAGGCTGCCCGCTCCTGCGTCGCAGAACCTTCCTGGACTTCTTCCAGTGGCGCTACTATACACAGCGGGACACCGGGCTGTTCTCCGTAACCTCCCCGGTCAGGCGCCCAGAGGATACCCCAAGCCTGCTGTTCGTCAACGCCGCCATGAACCTAGTTCAGCCTGTCCTGCGTCTGTCACAGGCTGTAGCGCTCAGGGAATAAGAGCCCGCTGTCAACTAACTGAACTGATATTGTACAGAAGAGGTTTCTGACAGATCTGATTAATTGCGACTTAATGTCAGGGGTGTATGCTGCTAACACTGTAATGGAACAGAAATATAAAGCAGTTTTAGTCAGTGATTTATCTTTGACAGTTTAACCCTGTTAGAATGTGTTCAGGTAAAGGTGTGACGGTTCAGACTCTGGACTCTTGTTCCAGTTCAAGCCCATCTTCCTGGGGACCGCGGACCCCCGCAGTGAGATGGCCTCGTACCGCCGCGTGGTCAACAGTCAGAAATGTGTGCGAGCCGGCGGCAAACACAACGACCTGGAGGACGTGGGCCGAGATCTGTACCACCACACCTTCTTCGAGATGCTGGGGAACTGGTCGTTTGGAGACTACTTCAAGGTGAGGAGGAGGAGGAGGAGGAGGAGGAGGACTGTGTCCTCCGCTGAGCCTTACATTAACGAACCTTTGTCTCTGCAGGAGGAGGCGTGCTGCATGGCGTGGAGCCTCCTCACAGAGCATTATGGGATACCCACAGACAGACTGTATGTGTCCTATTTTGCCGGAGACGCTGCGTCCGGTCTGCCGGCGGATGAAGAGACCCGACAGATCTGGTTGGACATCGGGTAGGTCCAGCTGCTCCCGGTCCAGCTGCTCCCGGTCCAGATCTGTTTTTCTCCTTTTCAAACTGCTCAGATTCTTCTTCTTCTTGTTAATATATTATTCTTATTCTTATTATGAATACATTATTATTATTATTATGTTATTATGATATTATTATATTAATATGATTATATTATTATTATTATTATTATTATTATTATGTTATTATTAACTCTCATCTTCAGGGTTCCTTCTGGTCGCCTCTTGCCGTTCGGCCTGAAGGAGAACTTCTGGGAGATGGGGGACTCGGGCCCCTGTGGCCCCTGCACCGAGATCCACTACGACCATGTGGGGGGACGAGACGCTGCAGCGCTTGTCAACGCCGACAGTCCTGACGTGGTGGAGATCTGGAACCTGGTCTTCATGCAGTACAACAGGTTCATATACTCGCCTGTAAACCGGCCTGCTGGTCGTACTGGTCGTACTGGTCAGCTCCCAGTATAATGGGTTGTGTTTGAATGTGTGTGTCAGGGAGGCGGACCGCAGTCTGCGGCTGCTGCCCCACTTCAGTGTGGATACTGGGATGGGACTGGAGAGACTGGTGAGCGTTCTGCAGGGCAAAAGATCAAACTACGACACCGACCTGTTCACGCCGCTGCTGGACGCCATCCACCAGGTACACACACCTTCACACCTTCACACCGCGACACTACACCCTGTACTCTGAATACTGCACATTGTGTATCTATGATGTACCAGCTGTAGTAAAGTTTGATTGACAGCTTGTTGTTGCCGTGGCGATGTGTGTGTCCGCAGAGGTCGAGGGTGGCAGCATACGGTGGCAGGATGGGGGCGGCGGGGGAGGAGAAGGTGGACACGGCGTACAGAGTGGTGGCGGACCACATCCGTACTTTATCAGTGTGCATCGCAGACGGAGTTCATCCGGGAATGTCAGGAGCAGAGTGAGTCATCGACCAATCAGATGTTAGAACACAATGGACAGCCAATCAGATGCAACCATTGATTGTTTTCATTATCTACGAATCTCTCGATCACTTTCTCCATTGATCGATTAGTTGATCAGTGTTCTGTCCTGAAGATATCGACTTTACTGTCCTAAAGAAATAGAATCTGAAATCAGACTCATTGATTATCAATATAGTTGGTGATGAATTTAATAGTTGATCCGATGGATTATCAATCACTAGTCAATCATCAATCACTGTCAGGTTGGTGCTGAGGAAGATTTTGCGGCGGGCGGTTCGGTTCTGTGTCGAGGTTCTTCAGACTCCTCAGGGAACTTTGGCCAGCCTGGTTCCTACTGTCACCCACACACTGGTAAACTCCATTTCCCATAATCCCTCTGACCAATGAGTCAATACAGTATGAATGCATACAAACAACTGTTTACTGGAGAATATAAACATCAAGAGCACTGTAAACACTGTCTGTCTGTCTGTCTGTCTGTCTGTCTCAGGGTGATGTGTATCCGGAGCTCCACAGGGAGGCAGACAGGGTGAGTGTGATGGATGTAACTTACAGTTTATTAATTTATTCTTTTAATTTGAATTATTGTTTTGTATTTTAAAGGTAACTTCCGTCAGTATGTACCTACAGACAGACAGACAGACAGTATAATTTCCCTTCAGTATAATTGGTATTAAAATATACTCTGTGCATATAGTGAGTCACTGCACCACTCCCTGATTCTGCTGCTTCATAATTAAATATAAATATTAAAATAAACAATCGATTAAAATATGTTTATTAATGAATTAGTGTCACTTATATATTCTAAAATAAAACCGGTGTACTGTGATTGATTCACAGTTCTCGCTCACGTCGCTCCCTCTCTTCATTCAC